CTTGCCCTAAAAATTCTTAATAAGCGAGGGACGATAATGTTCTCAGCCTTCTGCAATAAGGCCGGAAACACTCCGTCCTCTCCTGGGGATTTGAATGGGTCGAAACTTTCGATCGCCCCTTTAGTCTCCCTATAGGTGATTACTTTCTTCGCTATCTCCCAATCCTCTTTTTTGGGCCGGTTTTTACGACGCATGAGTATCGGGGGGGGTAGCTCTTCATCACCTAGTATCAAGCAGCCTGGGAAGTGTTTTTGGGCCAAAATCTGTAGCGTTTCTTTCCTGGACTCTGTGAAATGACCGTCGGGGCGCTGTATCGTCCCTAGCATCTCATAACGTAACTGAAATACTAAAAAAATAGTGATGTAAAAACGTTACAACTAAACGGTTGTAGATAAAAATATTAAAAATGCGTAACCAACGAATGCCATTTATAATTACATATTCAACTAACAAATACCATGATTCATAGGGTATGTTTTCTTCCGTAGTTTAAAGCTAAAAATAAAATAAAGATATTTGTGATACTTAAATATGTATATTGTTTGAATATATGGATAAAAAATACCAAACTACACTCACAAGCACGAACCACGGGCACCTTAAAATTTTGATGTATTTTAAAGTATAATATATTTTGTTCTAGTGGGCCGATTTTGATTATTTTAAAGCAATCTATAGCTAAATTATTTGATTTTTTGAATTAAAAATGAGTTCGTATGTAAATTATATAAGGGAAAACAAAATGTTGATATTTTGGTGATAGTTTGAAACACTCTGTGGAATATTTTAAGAGCAAGGAATTTAAAAATAATTTTGTCATCTAGATATACCCTTTCTCGATAGTTTGTCTTTTGATTCGTCTCAATAGCTTTATTTGTGTTGGATATATACGCTTTTGAAGAAGATACTAACATTTTTTCGTAATTTGTACATTAAAACCATGTCTCTGCTTTTTGTCCTAGTCAACAGAACTAGTAAGACAGTCCGTTCACGTACATGTACATTTCTTAGGTGCAATTCATAACACATTTGAAAAGCTGGCAATTACTCGATCGTTTTGCGACATAATTTTGATCTCTATCATCTTCAATTTAACGCAAATAAAAGTTGATTTTCACTATACCTTCCATATCAGCTCCCTTCCGTTTCTCTTCCGTTTATAATATAAAATATTATATCATATCAATGGACACTATCCGTTCCGTTTCCCTTCGGTTCCATATCCTTTCCTTCCATACATTTTTTTGACGGACGGACTGAAGCGTATCGGAAACAGCATTGTCGAGTTCTTACATTTGTACCAGCTCTGTTAAAATTTTGGTGATATTTATTTATTCTTTTATCTCTTAATTAAATTTATTACCTTTTTCAAAAGATACAAATTTTTAAAATAAAACTTTCGTAATGATATAAATTATATAATAAGGAGTATGGAACTGATACGGAACGGAAGCTTACGTATAGCGTCAATACAGGAAAAATGCGGAACGGATATGGAATGGATATAGAATGGAAACGGAAGGTATAGTTAGAATCAACCTTAAAGCGGATACTTTTGAACTTAAAACCATTTCTGCTGGGATAACTGCCCAACAGCGAGCAGACAATAATAATATGATTTTTCAATAACAGTGGCATTGCTAAAATGTTAGTGTCTTCTTCAACAGCGAATATCTAAAAAAATGAAGCTATTGAGATGAATCAAAAAATAAAATATAGAGAAAAGATGCACCGAGATGATAAAATAATTTGCAAATTCCTTGTTTTTATTATCCTTGTTTAATATTAGTGTTTTATTTTGCTGTTGTTTTTGCCTAACACCAAAGGTAAAAAATGTCCATACCTATGTGGCGGATTTATCTCTCCAAAAAAATCCTTTATGGGTATTTCGCCACTGCACAACAAGAAAATCTACAAAATAAAATATTAATTTTTTGTAAACACTTCTGCGTTAAACCTAAACGGACACTGCTTGTCAGAAGTTATGTTTACAGTTATACAAATTTGCCTAACAAAGAAAAAATAACGCCAAAATTATAATGAAAGAAGCGATAGCCTCTAAAATAAAAATAAAAGAGGCTTTTTTAATTCACTCTAATAAAAATAAATGTATTGCTTGTGCATCTGTAGATGTTGCTGGCAATCTGTTGATGACAATCGCTTTTTTGATTTTAAAGAACATTACATTAATAAACATAACATACGTAAAATTTAAAAATCATCAAACAAAAAGTTTGGGGCTTTTTGGTTTTACCTTATTAAGTAATTGTTATCAGGTAGTAATTGTTAATTTTAAAGTTTAACTTGATATAATGTCATTTTAACAGTACGTCAACGGTTTCTTGTAGACCTATCTGTTTTAAAAAAGTAAAGTGTCCTCGAATAGTTGAATTGAAATATTTTAAATAGTTTTTTTCTTTATTCTTTGTATTTTTTTTTGCTTCCCACGACAGAAAGAGATAAACTTTCCGAAACGTTAAGTATTTTTTTCTTTGTTAGGCAAATTTGTATAACTGTAAACATAACTTCTGACAAGCAGTCTCCGTTTAGGTTTAACGCCAGAAGTGTTTACAAAAAATAACTTTTATTTTGTAGATTTTCTTGCAGTGCAGTGGCGAAATACCCATAAAGGATTTTTTTGGAACTTTAAACTTTTTTTTGTGCGTTAAGCAACTTTTGCCAGTAAAAACCGCTAACAAGTTTTCGTTAGGATTTTACGCAAGGGTGTTTACAATACCTAACTTTTTTATTTTGTAGATTTATTTCCCTGTATCATAATACTCAGACTTTGAATAAATTCGTAAATAAAAGTTAAAATTAAAATATCTGAAATGAAACTTTCAAATAAATAAATAATTATACATAACTTGTTAAGTTAAGATTCTCAGGTATTTTTTACACTAATATATCTTTTATATAACTTTGGAACCATGTTTCGTTCGTATACAGTAAAACGAGTTTCAAAATTATAAAATTTGTTTGATTAAGCTGTTCGAAAAAATATAAAAAAATGCAAACTTTAAAAGAAAATCATACAAAAAAAATGAAAAACTCGAATTTTAATATGAATTGTTATTGAACATTTTTTTAATTCTACGCTAATTTTAATATTTTATTTAGTAATTTATGTATCAGACAGATATATCCGTATTATTAATATCCATATTAATATAAATTTTAAATAATTGTATCATCAGTTTAGCCTAATTAATTCTGCATTGAACATTAATTAATTATTAATCAATCTCATGTCTAAATTTTAATGCAAATAGAATAAAGCCAACAATATGAAATCAACTATTGTACGTAGGTAATAATAGATGGTTTGTAAATTTCATTAGGTGACAATTATTCAGCTAGACAGATTGGCTCGTATTGAAACGAATGTTTGAAATCGATAAGTTCATTGGATTAAATGGGAATAATTATCTTTATAAAAAGGCACCACATGAAGTAATTCAGTATCAGGATATCGTTTATTTTCACCAAATGGCATTTATTAATCTATTAATAACCCCAAGATAAAATAAATACAGTTCTTAATTGTATTGCGTGTTTACCAAATTTGACGTGATGACTACAAATAGCCATGTTTTCTTCTGTCTTTTTAATAGTGTAATAAAACATTGAATTAAAAGTTTGATATAGGCCTTTCTTAGTCTAATCGTTGAATATACAATCACCATCGAAGAAAAACAAACCTAGATGATAAAATTATTTTTAAATTCCTTGCTTTGTTAATATACGCCACAGGGTGTTTCAAACTTTCACCAAAATATCAAAATTTATTTTGCTCTCGTATAATTGACAATTGAACTTTTATTTTTAATTTAGAAAGAAATATTAAAAAGCCAAATAATTTAGCTACAAATTGCTTAAAATATCATCAAAATCGGTCCACTAGAACTCAATATACAGGGTGCTCCGAACTTTATTTCGGATGCTTTGGCAGGATATTCTGCAGATAAAAATAAGTAGAAAAGTTCGTATAAATGCATGTCCTAAAATGCTTAGTTTCGCAGATACAGGGTTTAGAAGTTTCATTTTTATTTTGATTTTTTCCAAATAATTTCTGAAGTAAAGTCAATATTTGTATGTAAATTAGTGTCTGGGATTTTTTTGACATGAGAAATTTGATTTTGTTGTCAATATGACCCCTAATTTTAGAGGGTGCCACCTACATATTTTTAAGTGCTTTTAAGAGTAATAACTTTTTGTCTGTACCTGTATAAAAATACTGAGTAAAAAAGGTAACGTTTTTTACGTAAAAAAGGTATTTTGGTAAAAATATTCGCTACGAGTAATGGTTCTTGTGATATTTGGAATCGAAGTTATCAATACCTGTAATCATTGACATAAATCAAACAAGTTAACTAGTTATTAGACCGATCACATAAATTTGACATGATTTTGTGTCAAAACTGTTTTGTCATCATTTTTTCGAATTTAAATTTATGATTAATTTAAAAAAATAAAGTTGCCAAATTTATCATTTCAGTTGATTAAGTGTCTACTCAATACGTTTCTGTTTTGTCAATAATGATATGTATGGACTATTTCCATTCTAATTATCTTGAGAACGGTTGCTCGTAGCGATTTTTACCAAGAGACATTTTTACGTAAAAAATACGGAAATGTACATTTTTTCACTGAATTCAACAGATACGGACGAAAAGGTATTACTCTTTAAAACAGTTAACACACATGTAGGTGGCTTCAAAAAACAGCAGTACACCAATTTTCATCCCAATATTGATTGTATCTCCGAAACTAAGCAAGTTAAGGTTATGCGAACTACTTTTATTTATTTTTATCTGCAGAATATGCTGCCGAAGTTTCCGGAATACAGTTCGAACCACCCTGTATAAAGCTATAAAATACATGAAAATTTTAAGGTGGCCATTTATCGTGCCGGTGAGTGTATATAATAAGTCATTTACGTATAAATTCCTATAATTGCTACAAAGTATTCACCATCTAAGACTTCTCTTGTATTTCAGCTTATGGTAATTTGGGCAGCATCCTCAGCACCAAAGGACGAACGTTGGAAGCGGAGGAGGCCTTCAGAAAAGCCCTAGATTTCCGACCGAACATGGCCGACGTTCATTACAACTTGTAAGTATTACGGCTTTTGCATTAATGAGTTACGAATGGAAATTCTGGCAAATTTGAGCGACTCTGGTAGCGCTCTATTTCAGACTTCAAAGTAGTTGTAATAGAGGCGGTTTCTAATATCTCCTTCGTTACGTAACTTTCTTAGATTCTGAAATATGTAATGTGTGATTTTTCATTTCACTTCTTTTAGTTTTATTGAAAAATACTCTTCATAGAATTTTACTGTACTATTTAGTGTTTGAGTTTGTATAGGCTTGGTGCATTTCAGTTGATTTCAAAAAATTCCGACCGGAGCGCTGTATACGGCAGAAATCAGAAAATTTCGCTATATATTTGACGCAGTCCCGGTTACACTTTATGTTGATCGCCTTAAAATAATATTGAAATCGTGGCTTTGTCAAAATATTTAAGTATTTTAGTTTTTTGCTAGTGCCGTTATTGAGACTATAAAACACTCAGGTACGATGTTTGTATGATGTAACGCTGTTTCGGGTAGTAAAAAATAAGTTAAAAATAATTCGAACTAGGCGTCGGCGTAGTGTTGTGTTGTGACAATTTCAAATATTAATAAAATTGCCGAAAAAATGTTAACGCGTAAAGAAGAGCGTAATTAGGGCCTTGTTGTGTGCAATAACATTCAATAATTCAACTTTCCCGAATATTCAACTTTCCTGAAACAACATTTCATAGCTTCGTAGTTTCTCACACCGATTTGATCAGTAGCAAAAATGGATTCAAGCAGTTCGACGAAACAAGTGAGTAAACAAAGTGTTCGTTACATAATCAAAAAATTAAAAAGACTCATACTATGAGAATAAAATATAATTTTCAATATTAATGGTATATTTTTTAATCAACTAGTGGATAAATATTTTATGAACGTCTGATAAAATTATAATTATGTACTTTTAAACTTTTTTATTATAGCTGAAATAGCCCCAATTATGACCCCACTAGTGAAACGAGTGATTAAAACTGTAGCGTGTTTTAAACCACTACCACTGCGAACGGCAGCTTTTCATCGGAGAGCAGTCGTGGATAAGGTATTTCACTAGAGAGAAAATTAATCAGTAATAATTAACAAAAGATATATAGATATTGGGCGCCAGGCATGTACAGAGAAAGAAAACACAGTTGTATAATACTTAAAACTAATGACTATATTTATTCATGTCGTTCTTTGCTGATACATGACATTGTAGAGTTCTAGTAAATATAAAGTGGTTATATGTCAAAGAAAGTGGTGGTAAGAGTCGTACTAAATATTAATGAAAACAACTACGATAAAATACAGGACATGCAAAGTTTAAGAGAAAATATGAAATGTAGCATTACTTTAATTAATTTGATATATTCCATATGATGCTAAATCGAAGATGTTACAACCTGTAGATTCTAGAATCTATGTTTGATTATCCATCTATTAAAATAGTGCAATAATATCTATAAAAGTAATACCATTACAAGACGTAATGCAATGAAACCTAAGATTTAAATTATATTTTAAAAAATTTTTAGAAAATGTTTTAGATGTTAAATGTAAAACTAGAACTTAAATATACACTTAGCTGTTCTTTTATGTAACCTTGCTTCAAACAGTAGCAGCGTGAGGTGGTCTAGCATCTCTGTACTGTCTGTCGGCGATCCTGTTGGCCAAAACAACAAAAGGGGCCAGATTGAGGACACCATGAATCACTACAGCCGTAGCTAACTAGCTTATAGCTGGGAACGAAGCAGCACGGGACTCAAGCTACCTCCACGCTGTGGCACTTATATGTAAGAAAAAATCATTCTTACTGGGGACACTCGTCCACAGGACATCTGTACATAAGATAATGTCTGTACATAAGACACTACCCGTACCTTGGACACAGTCCGTATCTTGGACACAGTCCGTACCTTGGACACAGTCCGTACCTTGGACACAGTCCGTACCTTGGACACAATCCGTACCTTGGACCCTAAAAATATGAAACTGTTGTTTAAGACCAAACAAGGTCTAATAAACAAAATAAACCTACCTCCAAATACTTCCGAGGGCTCAACAAATAATAAACAACCTGTCCTTTCTTCCATGTGACATTCTGGAGGACAAAAGAAAAGGGACGCCAACGTGCCAGCAAAACACAAATACAAGTTGGGACATCCGTAACTCTACCCTAAAAATATTCAATAATAATATCGAATCTATAAAAGGCAATAACTATCTTCACCTGTAGCCTCGAAATAGCAGCTGATTCAAATTATACAGCAAGATTTAAATAATCACCATTTCTAAAAGCTGGGATACAACAGAGCGTCAAAACAAAGTGAGGTTAAGCACGGAGAGAGTTGACAGAAGCGATATTGACAGCGCCTCCTCAGAGCGATAACAGGGTTGTGTCGAACGATAACAGGGTTGGCGACTTGGGAACGTAAAAATTACGCGTCAAATAAACTATCCGGCCTGAACGAGAGGGAATCCGGTGATGATAGGCCAGGCATCATATATTATATATCAAAAAGACATGTAACGAACTAAAAACGTTACAAAACTATGCTGGTTACCGTAAGTTTTTTTAGTTGGAATAATAAATTATAATACAAGGCAGACCTTTCAAAGGAATATATCAAAATATTTACATTTTTATTTTTATTTTCAGAATTTTTATATATTATACTTCCTAACACTTTTAGAATAATTATGTAATACATTTTTGGTATACTCGCTATTTAAACCCGTGTATTTGTATACAGGGTGAGTTTCCTACGATGTTCTCTAGCACCAGCGGAGAATGCACCAAGCCTATAACTACAGCTCATACTTTGATATTGTGGCTTATGTTATATTATTACAATTTTTTCTAGTAAAATGTATTAATTTAAAAAATAAAAATTTCCCAAATTCATTAATTCAGTAAAATAACTATTTAGTCAACACATTTGGTTTTCGTCAATGATAACTTGTATTGATAATTTCCATTCCAGGTATCTTGAGAACAGTTGTTCGTAGCTATTTTTACCAAGAGATCTTTTTATATAATAAATGTCGGAAATTTATATTTTTTTACTGATTACTTTAATACGGGTACAGAAAAAAATAATTACTCTTCAAATCCGTTAAAAAATACGTAGGTGGCGCCCTCTATAAAGAGAGAGAGAGAAAGACATATTGACGCCAAAATCAAATTTATCATGCCAAACAAGACCTAGACACCAATTTTCATCCAGATATCGAGGTATTTGGAAAATTCGAACCACAATGTAATTTCTACTCCCTGTATCTCTGAAACGAAACACTTTAGAACAACTTTTTACTTATTTTTATCTGCAAAATATGCTGGCCAAAGTTTTCCGAATACAATTGGGACTACCCCATATATGATAAAATATTCCCATAGCAATAAACATACAGATATTTTCTAAATGTACCTTATAAGAAAAAAAAAACGTTTTATACATTTATTTTTTAAATGAAATGGCAAGTAGAATTCTCAATATTTATTTCATCCTTTCGATAAACTTTGTTACAAAATAACATCGATTTTTCGATGAAAAATATGGAAAATGTCAAGATATAACTTGGAATTGCGAGCACTTCAATTAATTGGCAAGAAATTATTACGGCATTTACCGGCACTTTGACTATTAAAACCGTTTAAAGTTTTACTTCTCTCGGGATCCCAAGAACTTTTTCCTTTAATTCTTGAAAATTTGATTTTCAGCAGAATTGCACACAGACAAAAGTCACTAATTAGCCTGAAAACCGATGTTTTTGGTAGACAACCGGAAGTCTTCGCTTTTAAGCGAACTCCGTGAAAGTAGTTTTCAAGATCGGAAAAATCGTTCAAAGGCCAGTAGTAGTACGGACTTTTCTTCCATTTAAATTTGGTTTAGTCCTTTCAAAATAGAGATGGCTTTGGTACGCGTTACTTACTAAAATTTTGACCATATTTAAGATAAAAAAACAATTTTTATCTTTATAGTGCATTGTTTAGAAAAAAATGTTTTAGGAACTAAACGTAAAAATAAAATAATTAGGTCAGATCTAAAAAATGAAATTACAAAAGTAACGAATACATATTAAAACTTAAACTGAAAGGTCTATAATATATTTTTTTAGTAGTAAATATATTTAGAATATCGTAGTTTCCTATGATGTTCTCTATGGGTATCTCGGAAACTACGGGAGATAGAGAGTCGGTTAAATAGAGAAAGAATAGCAGTTTTGTGGGGTCATAAACATGCGACTTCCAGATTTTTGAAAAAGTGCATTGCTTACTAGATATTTGGAAAAAAACAAATTTCGGCTAATTTAAAAATTGTCCCTAATTCCATTATAATCTGTTTTAGACAAAAAGTTTTCAGATAAAAGTTATAGATAATTACATCCCTAATAAGTTTGTTTTTTCCGATTTTTTCTAAAGCCTGTCATTTTTGACATATAACACTGTTTTTTTAAATGGAAAAGTTGGCTATGACTTCATAAAAAGCGCCATTTTTTAAGCTTTTCAGCGATATAAGTTATAATGATTTTTTTTGAAAAATTACTGAGTTATTCTTCGTTAGCCAATTCTTATCTTTCTTGACAAATTTCACTTAGTTGGTATGGTATTCTTATTCTGTTATGATTTATAACTTATAAAAAGACAGAATATTTTATTAAACGGTTCTTTACAATTTACATTACACAAACTAAAACTTAAAAAAAATATCACTACATACACTTTAAGTTATATTAACAAATGTTCAAAAAAAACCACCATTGTTTTGAGTACATAAAATGTATCTTTTTCAAACTGAATTACAAGCTTTTCTCATAGAACGGCCGGTCGACTTTAATAAACTTCTCCCATACCGCCTCTTCGAGTGCTTCTCTTAATTCATAAGTTCTTTTGTAAACCTTGTTAAAAAAAATCTAAAATGGATAGGCCAGGTGATCGAGGAGGCCCATTCAATTGGTCCACCTTTTCCTATCCCTGAGTTTGCATAATTATAATATAAATAATTTTTAACATTTC